ATATATATATATATATATATATATATATTATTGCATAAAAGCATTTTACCGGATGTGACACATGTATCACTAATTGTTAGGCGTCGATTTAAAAGAAATTGATACAAAGTATTGTATAAATGTCTCTCAGTGGTAAAAACATACTTTAATATTCAAAGTTATTGTTTAATATTTAAATGAAAGTCAACTTTGATGTTGCACAATTAAGTTACATAATATGATGAAGAGAAGGTTGAACACCTAAAATTATATTTGTTGTTTCTCCGTTTAAAATCTAATTTATAAATTTCGCAGCTCTCTTTCTCTAGAAATTATTTGGCTAGAAATTATTAGCAATGCTTGCCTACATTAGATTTGCCGACAGTTCGATTGTTTGCACACAATAATTATTACCTACATCTCCATTGTCTACATGCACTATTGCGCATAAATGTAAAATTAAATGAAAAAGACCTATTCACACATATTGGGTACAAACTGCATTACTGTACACATAATATTATTTACTACAGATCGATTACCTTAAAGCATTTTTGCGTTAAATAATAATTGCAGAGACAATTTAATCATATTTACTTACACGTTGTATTGCCTGCAAGCACATTTGTGTACAAATAACATTAAGAAGCAAAAGTTTGTTTTGCATACAGGTATTATTGCGTACTGATCGATTGCTTACGAACTAAAATTATATAAGACACTAAAATTATGTAAGAAAATAATTTATTTCAAAATATGGAATTTCTTTTTTTAAAATAAGGAATTTGCGTTTTTAATGCAAAGAATAGTGCATGTAGATAATAAATTTGTGCGCAAACAAACTGTTGTGCGTGCGTGCGTGCGTGCGTGCGTGGGAGCGTGTGTGAGTGTATGTGACAAATCTGACATAGACAAACGGTACTGTAGACAATCAATTTGTAAGGGAACGGAGTTCTTCCTCTCAGGAATAGTACATCAATCTTTATTTAAAGCAAGATGTTTTTTCGCAGAACTCTAGGAATATTATGGCGGTGATTCGATTATTGAAACAAGAACAAAATACTAATATAAATTGCCTTAATATAAATCTTATTTGTTCTAATATCAATTGTCTTAATATTATATAAATCTTGTTTATTGATTCACAATAGTATACATAAGTCATACATAATAATAATAATACATAAAAATAATAATAACTGTAAAAAAACCTTTGTATAAATTAATTCATCCTCTTTAATACAGTTTTGAAATTTGTGACTTTTCAAGATACATTTATTAAATGAAACATAATATAATGTACATAATTAATAGAGACATTATAAAAACTGGTTATTGCAATTAGCACAGGGTAATTAATACACTGTCTTACACTGTATTTTTGTTATATTGCAAACATTCGAAAGTTTGATCTTTTGTGATCCTTTTAATTTTTGCACTATTTTTCGGAATATCAAAATGTGGCCAATGGGATGTTATTACAAAAAAGCTATATTAAGATATACATTATATAGGATGTACACATATCCGGACGTATTAATTATTATTAATTTATCAAATGTTCTTGTTCTTATTAAAATATTGAAATTATGTTTAGCAATTATAATATGATATTAAATTACAATATAGTATTTAAAAAATTTGAGAATAATATAATACTAAATTTTGTGTTAATATTCGGAAATAGGTACATGTCCAGTCGCTAGGACGTTTACAATACCATGATAAATTTTTTGAGTCGCTAATACGATTCTAATGTCAGAATTAAAAATTTCGAAATAACTTAATATGACAAACTTAAATTTTAAAACGCATGAAAGTCGATTTTTAGAGAGTTTTTTTGCGTTTCTAATCTTGATTTTGATATAAAAAATAAATAATTCAAATCAGCGCATCCAATATGGCAGATTTTAATTTTAAAAAATCGTTAAAAATACATGTGAATTTCGAGAGTTTTTGAGTGGTTGATCATGATAAATGATCTCAGTACTGAAATCTCAATTTCTTTCCAATTGCACAAGCATAACAATTTCTTCTAGTACAATACCAATTATATCAATTTCAAGAAATTCTGATTTTAATTCGCCAGTGTACTATCTTAAATCCAACAAACACAAAAATAATTAAAGTTATTAAAAAAATTACTGGTCGGTTTTGTCTTTTGAACACACATTGTGAGCTTTACACGTCAGTGTTCCTGTGTCTGACAGTGTTTTATTGTATCTCCTAGAAAAATGGTATAATATTTATAAATAAAACCATCAATATGCTTATATGGTATTATATCTCGTAAAAAAATTACATCTTTATCCTCAATTTCTTTCATCATCGGCTCGTTATTATTATTAAGAGTAGTCATAATTTTACTTGATCGGCTATTCTGTTGTCAGTCGCGGTTAGTCCTTTAATACAGTATCACTCATGTGACCCTAAAAAAAAATAATTTTTTTATATATCAAATGTATTGTGGTACATTAGTCTATTATAATATGTTATGAACATATAACAAAAATAGAAAGATAAATGTGAATCTGCTAATGAATTAAACATTATATCGTGAATGACCTACTTTTGCATGAAAATATTTTTTCTTGCACTACGTTTGCAAGAAAATATTTTTTTTCCGTGAAGCCTCTGTTACATATCGAACATTCAAACGGCTTTCTATTGCTACGTGTATATCTGTGTCTGGTTAGTGAAAATTTATGACTAAACGCTTTACTGCAAATCTAAAATACAGCACATTTATAATAACAAAAATGTAAAAATAAACACAATCAAATGAGAAATAATAGTAACAATAATTTTGTAGAACATACCTCGCAAACATATGGTTTCACGCCCATATTTTTGTATGCTGCTTAAGGTGTACTAAACGTTTAAATGCAAATGCACGTGTCTCACATTTATACGATCTTTTATTCATGTCAGAATGCTTCGTTTCTAAATGATTAATGATATCCTGTTCATTATCGAAACCATTCTCACAAACGTCACAATCGTCACTGAAATCAATTGTCTTTTTGTGTTTAAATTTAATTTTTGACTGCAAAATATTTATCATTTGTTAACTACAATATTATTTTAAGTAACATGATTATTTAATATTTTTATAATTTTTCTACTCATTTAAATCCTTTTTCACAAAACTCACATTTATAAAGTTTTTCATCTGTATGAATTATCAAATGACGACATAAATCCCATTTGCACTGAAACATCTTGCCACACGTTTCGCATTTGTAAGGTTTATCTTCAGTATGTACCTCACTATTATGACGTTTCAAAGCTTGTGAGAAGGGAATGTGCTTATCTTTAATATTATTGAAGATGATTGTTAAAAAACAAATGTGGATATGGGAACATTAGACGGAACTGTTCAAATAATACAAAGATATTCAAAACTCAAAAAATATTAATCATAAATGAATTACATAAATCTTACCACATGTTGGGATACATATTTTTTTGTACCTTTAGTCATTATTTTTAACTGTTGATTCAAATATTACGAAACTTGAGATTGATAGAGTATTCCCCTATTTTTCAGATAGGACTCTTAAACTCGTCAGTTGTACTTCTTAGTTGACTTTATTGTAATATTTATGTCGTGGTTTAAATCGCGTTCGTATTTTTATTTTAAACATACATTTTTTTCATCGATTTATATACGAAGATTTTAAAGTGTATTGAGTGTACTATCAATAAAAAACACTGTTATGTGCAGATTTTTGCAGTAAATATTCAGAAGAGAAGTGATAATTCTATCTTTTAACAGAGAAATAATACTAAAAGCTAACGAATGTTTTTATATAGATACATTCTAGTTAAAAATGAAACCTTTACGTGGCTAAATAAAGTATCGATGAAAGTAATTAGTGAAATTGTTACTTGTTATAAAGCTGATTTTTCTTACGCAGCACGCTACAGCAGCAAAATGTTTATTGAGAATTTTTCGAATTTTTCGTGACTTGAGAGGCACTTCCAATCAATTCTCAACAATTTAAATTACGTGACATTTTACTGCCGCAATGTGCTGCGTATGAAAAGTCAGCTTAATGCATATACGAGCTTAATACATAACAATATATATATATTGTTATGAGCTTTATGTGTCTTGCGTTATGGAATGCTTTGCTGATTATATTTATTTCGTATCAGCTTTTTATTAAAAGAAATGTACTTTTCGAAATCTTTTTTATGAAGTTGCCGGATATTTTTTTCTTATATAGAGGTTTTTTTTAAGATATATGTTTAGGAATATTTATACATGTTTACATATATTTATTCGTATTTATATATATTCATGCAAGAGGAATTTTTTACTAGAATAATGAAAGTTAATTTGGTACACGGTCGAGACTCATCGTGTGTAGTGAAGTAACTATTGAAGTTTAAATGAATATATCATTATTGTTCCAACATGCTAAATGATGTGCTACCACCTACAACGAAACTTTTATTCAATTGACAGTTACACTAATTGGCTTCTATTTCTTTCGTAGAAGAATGTATTGTATGTATTTACATGTGATACATAAAATGTTTGACTTAAATTCATATACCTTTTAATTTAGTAAAATAAAAAAATCTCTTTGTCAGAGTAACGATAATTCATAGTTATATATCGTTATATCTATGTGTATATAGATATATGTACACATAGGAAACAGTCATCCTCAAGATTTTGATACTGTTAGTTGACAGGAGACAATTTAAAATTTGACCGTAATAATCTTAGTACGTATAAGCCGTAAACATTGTATACAAGATAATAAATCATAAAAATTTTAATTTATAATTTAACTTGAGATGTCATTCTAATTTTATAAATGTTGTTTTTATGATTTAGTTTGTTTTTAACATCATTCTATTTCTTTCTTTCTACGTATAACGTTTATAACAACTGTTATTTTATTACCTGCAATAAATTCTGTTCTCACCGTCGAACATAAAATAGATTTTGACTATAGTCTATTGTTTATTGAATTATCTAATTTCTATTTAATAGATTTTAAAATGACAAAGAATTATGCAGTTTATTTATACAAGTAATGTTTCTCTTTTCATACTTATTGATCATTTATGCAAGAAGTTGCTTTCATCATTGATGACGATTTTTTATTAACATGTTCC